TGTGTGTGTGTGTGTGTGTGTGTGTGTGTGTGTGTGTGTGTGTGTGTGAGAGAGAGAGAGAGAGATAGAGAGAGAGAGACAGAAAGTGAGATGCGCGTTTATGTGCGAAAATGGCGAATGGAGGTACATATGGTGAGGAAAAAGTATGCATACATTTGAAATCCTAATCTCCCAAAGATATCTTTTTTTCAATGCATTGATAAATGTTCAATTCTTTTGTTGAACTCTTTTGTAATCGCATTTAACGCAGGGAATTAGGAAGACTGCCGATGTCGTTGAAATCGATTCCCACAGCGGAAGGAGATTTCGACATGTGGTTTCCACCTCTTGGTCATCCTATTTTAGACGTGAGGATGCTTGTGGATGAAGAGCAGGAAAAATTGAGAGAGGACATCAATTCGGTGCCCACCAAATCTGAGCTGGTATCATTTTTGGATCGGGTACGAACGCTGGCGGATGAGGGTCTGAAAAGCGTGAATAATGATTACCACTCACTCCGTGTATTGGAGAAAGAGCGAGAGCGGTTAGAGGACGATATATGTTATATTAACGATCAAATGAAACAACGAAAAATACGTCTCAAGCGCTGGAAAATTACGAGGTGGAAAGATACTTTAGAGCGAGTAAGAGTGCTGAAGGCGTTGGAGGTTGGTCATCAAGGAGCACATGGTGTGGCATGTGTCCCTCCGAATACAAATAAAAGGTGTCGTGAGGGCACAAGTGATTCCAAGTCACCTATGCGTGAGCCTTTGGAACCATGCATTGATGATCCATTTTGCATTTTGCAAAACGTGTGGCCAAACAACGACGAGTACACACAAGAAGACTTATGTGACGAGGAGCTAGAAAGGAGGAGATACAGGGGTTTGCTCATGTACTCGATTGACATGATCAAACATCTGAAGAGCGAGTTCAAACTCGATAGCTGTAGGACATCTGACAAACTGCTTTCAGAGCTTAATAAGCATAGACATAATCTGCTAGATAGGAGTGATGAATTGATTGAAGCTTTGGTTCTTCACGCTGCACAATACGACGATCGGGAAAAGTGATTGAGTTATGAGCATCGAATCCAAATACGTCTACGAAGGTCGCTGTCATGAAAGTGCGCGACTCGAAATGAGAGATAGAACGGAGATATTCTCAGGACGATAGAGAGTGCAATTATGAATGTCGAATGTGGAGTATATCCGTTTCTGGGCAATATAGTGCGTTTATTGTCGTGCGTTTTTGAATCAAAGGAAACATGTGAACAAGAGAGCTGTCTTAGAAGATGATAAAACATGTCATAATACAATTGTCAAAACGACACAGTCGTATTGATGTTGGGGTAGTTCGCACTGAGCGATGTCCTTGTTGTTTTACATGACAATGTGTCGTGTATCGTACGGGGACTTTAGGTTATCCTAAACATTACGCAAACGTTTATGGAGTCAACATGAAGAAAACAAACGAACTTCAAATTGGTTTCTTTGTTTGAAAAAATTGGTGTCTGTTAAAAGGCATGCGAATGTTGTAATCGATGTGCGCTCATGTGTTGTAGACGTATGCTTCAATTGTTATGAATTTTTTTTTTCTTACTACGCAGGTTTCATTTTTTTCGTTACTTGATACGATCATCATGTCAAGTGACTCAAGTTCGCAGCATCACGATGTTAGCAGATGGTGGGAAGCTGGTGCTTGTCCGTAATGTGCGCCTATTTACACGGGCATAGTGCAATTTCGTCCACCGACTTACACAAAACATGTTGTGAATTGGGAGTCCGACTTGCTACAACCAGGAGTGAGGGACGGAGAATTTTGTTTTGCTATGCGGAGTTGTGATGAGGGTTGAATGTCGCTTGGGACAATTCCAGAAACCGTGTATATCATGTTTACGTATTGCATTGTCCTTGACCGCGTCATTCGAATGAATCCTCATATGACTTTTGGGTTAGGAATGATGACTTTTGTTGGGCATCTTCACGAGTCCTTGCTTGCGAAGGGGTTGTTGAGGTTAAATGATTTCTTTTACGATAATGTGGAATGCGGATTGAATTGGTGCACGTCAAATGTGGACGTAGAAATAGAACCTGAGGAGGATGAGAGAAGAGATTCAAGATACGGATGGGTTCCTTTTCAATTGTCTGTTGTTAGTTCGAAGATCGTTATGAATGTGTTAGATCTTGCGGGAAACTATTGGGAGGCAACGTATAGCAAGGGAGAATTATTGTCTCGCAAATTGTTGAGGTTGATGGACGATTGACCTATTTTTCGCAATCCGTATGAGTTGTATGCGTCTTTTGCGTGTGATGGGTCTTATTCATTTGCCACCCATGATTGCAGTGTGGTTGATGTATGCGGATCCTCGGAGCGATATTCGAATTTGTTGGAGTGTGCGTGGGATCCTCTCAGTCGTTCACAGGGAGCATCATCTTGTTGCGACGTGTCCAAAACAATTATACAGAAGGGAAGCTGCATCCAGCGCAATATAATGGGAAATGGACGATGGCAACACGCGGGGATAATGATTTTTGGGTTCCGTTGGGCTGTGTCTCGGAAGGATTGATGAGTCATCTCCATTATCTGGTCATCCTTTTGAAAGTATGCTTCGCAAATGTTGGGTTGGGTGATACAACAGTCATAGAGGAGCATACTAGGTGTTGCTTTGAGAAGATTGCAGTCAGTGAACGACAAATGTTCACTCCTGCGTATGACAAGATCTTTGATGATGATTTCTGGGTGTTAAAATCGACAGTCGTGATACGCTCTGAGGGACAATCTTTTTATGAACATCTTCCTGATCATATAAGATCTTCAACGCTTTTAGGGTGGGTACCTCTACAGTGTCCACTGAAACTTTCCAATTCGGACCGATTGGAAATAATTTTCTTTGATCCACTTGGTGTCCCTTTCACTTTGACTTACACCAATGGACTGCTAACATTCATCCAACCACACGGAATGACACACTTGACCGACATGACATCCCTCATGACATCGTTGGGGATAGATGCACAAGCGAAGCAATTCATTGCTCAAGAGGTAAAACAGTCTTCCGAAACGCGGGGTAAGAAAAGGTTAACTTCCAAACCGAAGGTCATCGATTCTCAAAAGTCTGGGAAGGCTGTGTCGATGCCTGGTGCAAAGAAAGCAAGTGTGAAACCAAAGAAGAGGATGCCTCCAGGCAAAGCAGCGCTGCAAGAAATTCAAAGATTGCAGAAAATCGAGAAGCTTCAGATTCCGAAGGCAGCGTTTTATCATTTTGTACACGAGCTTACACAGAAGAGAGATGAGACTGCTCGCATGCAGCTTATTGCACTCCAATCTCTTTGCGAGTTTTCAGAGCGGTGGCTGACAAGATTATTCGAAGATGTTATTTTGGTAGCATCCTTTGCTGGACGTGTGACAATCCTTCTGAAGGATCTTCACACTGTCATTCTGATACGGAATAATGATGTTAGCGATAGGTGGAAGAATAGAGCAATGAACAATGTAGCACCACCTCTTTTGACAAGGTATGAAAAAGTCGAGGCAGAGACAAAAATGAGAAAAAAAACAAAAAGAGAAATAGATGTTGGAGCTGAAGTTAGTTGGGCATGATTTCGATGGGACCAGCACCACTTTCAGGACAACAGTCGTAGAGCAGCGTTGGAGGAGTGGAAGAGCAGGCTAGAGTGGAAGGGTTGGCGGAGGCCATGTCCACAAGGGAGAGAAAGACCTACCTAGGTGTCATAGGTGGGATTTCATACCGGTCCGTAGTCCGACCTTCAACATCGATCTGCATCGACAGTCTATCGCCATCGCTGATAAGTATTTATTGCACCGTCATCAGGACACAGAAAAAGAGAGGAGAGTTATTGTTCTTTTTTTCCTCATGACCACGCCCTTTCTCTGTTCGTCCATAGCCATTCATTTGGGCTAATAACATATCGTCCTCATTCTTATTTTTTCTTCTTCCTCAAAAACAGATCGAAAGGGGGGTTGTGTTGTTTTCATGCATGCTGACGACGATCAAACACGTGTCGAATTTCATGTAAGTCAGTGTATGATTGTAAATGTATCGGAGAGAATACGAATGAATCACGTGAAGGTGGTCATGCATCCTGCGGGTACGAGACCGCAAAAATGTCAACAATATCTTTACTCTCTCTCTCTCTCTCTCATTCGCACTCTCTCTCTCACGAGCGCACACACACACACACACACACACACACACACACACACACACACATCGCAATGAGTTAGGTTGTCGTAAAGGTGGTCATGCTACAATGACATTCGCCACCGCAAAAGTGCTTGGAGCATATCCACCTTTAGGACATCCATCTCTGTCTTACGCGCACACACACACACACATACACACACACACACACACACACACACATACACATACACACACATATTGGAAGGAGGACTAGACGTCGTAAAGGTGGTCATGCTCCAAGCACATTCGCCACCGCAACAATGTTAGGAGCATGGCCACCTTTACGACATCTCTCTCTCTCTCTCTCTCTCTCTC